TAACTGATTAAAAATAGGTCTGATTTTATCATAATTTCACTGTATAGCTGCACAATTACGCGCAAAGATACCTATGTTTGATGCGCACGTACGGCATTGCTACTGATTTTTAACAATATTTTTCCTACATACCCGGTAGTACCGGGTACGCGCAATTCAACAATATGTGTTTATACCCGGTATTACCGGGTACACGCAGTGAAAGGGTTAATACCATTTCTAAATGGCAATTGGTTAGGCTGATATGATCGATAATTTAAAAACACAAAATTGCGCGTAGTTGATGTCACGCATGACTGAGCGTGTTGAAAAGCTTACCATGACTATTCTAGACCAAGCCAAATGTTCGCTGACATCGATTTTGCGTAACTCGTGGCAGTTTTTGAGATATCGTGCAAACAGAAAAGGGGAGAAAGAAAGAATAAAAAAGATGATGATCCTGACAATAACAATAGGTGATCCGCTAACGTTAGCGGATCATCAATAAACCTAATGTGCAGAACATGGTTGAAAATGTATACAACATGATCAGTTTCTGAAAAGATTGTAAATATTATGCATAAATGTAGGCTAATAGAATGAATATTAACAAATTAATGTCAACACCAGTTCTAAGTTTCAGTTAGCAACTGAGATAATGTATATCTCTTCTTCATCTAATATTTATTTTACTAATGATCTCAGAAAAGATCAAGACTTAACTGATGCTGACTGGAATACAGTTTCTTGTCTACAATATTGTCGGGCACATAGAGACCTTGTTTATTTGCGCTATAAATGTTATTATTATTATTATTACTATTATTATTATTATTATTCAAAAAATAGCTCATCTGTGTTGGTGTTCGAATGTAATAAAAGTTCAAACTTTTGATCACAACACAAACAAATTTCACGGTAAGTAAACTTGTGTTGTGATCAAAAGTTTAAACTTTTATTACATTGTTATTATTATTATTATTATTATTATTATTATTATTATTATTATTATTATTATTATTATTATTATTATTATTGTTATTATTATTATTATTATTATTATTAAAAGAATAATAGTATAGAGACAACATTCGAAAGGGGATTTATTATCTAACCATTTAAACTTTACAAAGTAATCTTGCATTAATCATTGACATGGTTCATTGACCTTAAAACCTTTGGCTATGTGCTGTAAAAAATGGAAAAATAATAATATTATTGTAGTCAGAAAAGAAGGTATTTAAAGTAAAATGGAATTAAAAATATAATGTAATTGAAACTGTAAATCCGTAAGGTATTTAAGTGTTGTCTTTAGTTCAAACGAGAAATTACAATAACCAGTAATACAATTTTTAAGAAGCTAATTAAGTAATGTAAAATTTAAAGTTTCAAAACAAAAATGTTTTTGGTAATATATACCATTAACATTATGAAACAATGTGTTGTGGATACCGGTTTGACTTTATGTGAGTAAAATTTGAAATGTGTTTTTTTGCTGCGAAGCAGCCAATTCATATTCTTGACAGCAATTTGACCTCTGAAAGGTCATTGTTTGTCAAAAAACAATCGCCTAAAAGACAACTGAAAAGCGGAGTTTCCTTCTTTCATTCTGCCGGGTAAAATCAATTACTATAGGCGACGTTTGTAGACTAACCTACTCTTACCAACGTTGGCATGTCGCGACGCTGGAGTACTATTCAGCGTTTTTACTATATTTCTAGGTTTCCTATTTCTACGTTTAATCGGCTCATGTCTCAGCCACAATATTTTGAGGCCAATATTATTACGAACCCAGTTAAACTTATTTACTAGCCTATTTCAACGTGCTAATTATTACATTTAGGCGACGCTTGTTGTGGACTGGCATAGTGTTTTCGGAAATACCATTTTATACACATGCGCAGATCGATTCGCCAGCAGCGTCATCGCCAGCAGCAGCGAGTCGCCAGCAGAGAGATGTCACTGCAGCAAAACACTAAATTGTACACGGTACCAACGCTGTTCTAATAGGCAATGGGGTCGTGCTCATATTATTTGTTATATTTTTATTATTCATTATTTTCATTTTACTCGCATAAATAATTTTGTTCGAAGAACATTTTATGCAGTTGTACTTCGCAGCACTTCACTTGCAATTTGCAATTTCTAGTCTTATTGAAACTCTTGAAAATTTATGATTAGATGTTTTCCTAACAAAGTTATGAATTATTGTACATTGGTTTCCAGTAACTGTTTTAACCAATGCAATTTCAAATCAGTTAATTAATTTTATTTTGGAATTTTTGTTTCAGCACAAAACCAATGTGATTTCGAGGATCCACACATCTGTTACTTTGTACAAGATAAATATGATGATTTTGATTGGATAAGAACATCTGGCTCAACACCCACATTTGGTACTGGCCCTAAGTATGACCACACCTACGGAACATTACAAGGTATTAAAAAGCTGACATGAATTTCAATTTCCTAAATGAAATTGTAAATTCTTAATGAAAATATTTCTAAAACTACAAACGAAATAAATAAAATAAACTACAAAGAGATAGAACAA